AACGTAAAACCGCCATTTCTCCGCCAATATTTAGCCTTTTTCAAAAATTTTTTTCAGAAATTAGAGATTATTCTTCGACCACTATTTTGACCCAAAAATAGAAATTTGAAGAAAATTGCCGACCCGAAGGTATACTGTAACCTTAACAAGGAGTTGTGTGACCTGGCTAAGAAAAGAGTGTTTGGAACTCAGCGATGGCTGTGAAGAGTTTCCTGTAGCACTGTTGAATGAATGCCGCTCGATGAAAGAGATAAGATGCGTTGTGGAGATGCAGAATAAAAAAAAAGTTCTGCCTAAGATGGAGGGAGAGTTTCTAAACATTCTGGAGGTTGCCATTGTCACAAGAAACGAAAAGGTAAGCCAGTTTCAACTTGAAGCTCATTTTTGTTTTGTCTAATTTTGCGCTGATTTTTTTTTAGTTTTCAAGCTCATGGTGCAAGACTGCATAAAAACCAGTGTGTGATAATTATTCTTTGTGCTATTAATTTGCAGTTCGCTAGTCATCCTTACAGCCAGCTTGTTTTACTGAACTCAGAAATCTACAGACGCGTCCCGTTCCTGGAGAAAAGTTCATGGAAACAGTTTGTAATGCTGATGGTATCTGCTTTGTTTCCTTTGCTTTTCATGGTTTGGATAGTTTTCGAGAACGTTCGTCCCAATCACAAGGTGGCAAGAATGTTCCACTCTCCATGCATGAAATTCCTCATCCACTGCGGCTCTTATCAAACATTTCTCCTCATGCTCGTTTTGACTTCGCTCCGGGAGTTCTCAGAGTAGTTTTCTTGAATATGTCCTTACGGGTGAGTATGGAAGAAGAAAGCACACATTTGCCATTTGTCATGCTATTTGAAAGATGCTGTGTTTCATTTAGGGAATCTCGAGGCGTGACGGCCTTATTGCTCCTGCTTATTGGCCGGGGCTGACTCCGGATTGAACAGTTCGGGCTCGAGCCCTGGGCAGGGCCATCGTGCTACTGTTTTCTTTGGTAGCACACCACTCCCACAGTTCCTCTCTCCGCTCAGGCATTTAAATGCTAAAGGTAAATTAAGACTGCTATCAGTAGATCTCTTTTGCTCGAAAATCCGTAAGAAAGAACGAAAGACACTGAGCGTGGTAAGGTTCAGTTTAATTTTGCTTGCTTCTTTTTGCGCTCGTCTATGTTAAATTTATTGGCGGAAGTAATCCTGCTACGGACTAGCATTCCATACTTTTGGAGTATAAAAATACCTCAGTACAGTCGCTTAACGCAGGCAAAGAAATACAATGTCTGAATAAAGTAGATAGTATTATTATTATAGAGCACGAAGAGTGGCCGGAGGAGTTGTCATTTTTGTGATTAGATAGACCCTTAGTTGAGGTAATTAACTGAGACGGTTAAGGAATTTTACTTATAAGTTGTTGTATGTATAACATGCTCTTATAAATATCCTCTTGTCTACGCAGATTGGATAGTTGTCATATATGTCCTCGGGCAGTTAGTCGATATCATTAAGGAAGTTCATCAACAGGGGAGAGTTCGCTTCTTTTCTAACAATTGGAATTACCTCAGTGTCGTAACAGTGACGTCATTTCTTCTTCACTACGTATTCTGGTGGTCTGGCCGCGCAGGGCTAAGAGATAAATTGGATACCATGACGTGGGAGAATCATACCAAATACAGTTCATACACAGTGGTGTTGCTTTCTGACTGCTTTATCGCCGTGGCAGTTCTATTGGCTTTTGTCCAAAACTTCTCATTCATTCAAGCAAACTGTGTCACCGGGCCACTATTACAGGCGTTTAAACAAATGCTATTAGATATAACGTAGTTGTTTTTTTTTATTTCTTCTTCGTCTTCCTTGCCTTTGTTGTTAGTTTCACAAAGCTGTACTTGCAGTATGAGAAAGTCAGGCAGTATTTCCGGATGACTACAGCTGGAACAAATAAAACAGATCCATTACATCTGGAAAGGTAAAAATTGCAGATTTCAGTCCTCGATCATGAACGCAAGTTTTTCACTGGCCCATCGTATAAGGGACTTCGTAAGCCCAACTGGCGTTGTTTGTCAGTTAAGGATGAGCTCTGACAATAGGGCCGTCCATTACCGTCAAAGCTCATTTGCTTTATTTTCAACAACAACAGCAACAACAACAACTTTATTAAACGTCAGAGATAATAACTCTTTACACTTTATTATTAAAAATTACAATTAAGTTAGAAGCAAATATAATAACTGCATAAACCTGCAGGTAGCCTAGGCTAATCTAGGCGGGCCATATTATACCATTAATATACAGTAAGCTTACTATTTAACTACTTAGACAGAGATTTCTGAAAATGTTCATTACAAACGTTACCAACTATTTTTTTGACGGGTTATCATTTACATATTATCGATACTAGGAGCTATGACTAACTTGTCAAAGTTCGTCCGTTTTGGCAATGCCAGGCACCTATATAGTTTGCTGGTTCTAAAATGAGGTAGCACAACATAAAAAGATTCCTGAATGATTGGTTTCGATTGCTAGCCGCGCACTCCAGTCCTTTGTAACACGTACACCCACGGAGCTTTTTAGGGTTGTTATCAATCCGTCTCTTCCGGTATGCCCGTAAATTTCTCGTTCTGGAAATTTATTATTATTTCATGTAGTAAGAGCGCCTTTATAGAGTCTTTATAGGATTGAAAAAGAACCTTAAAACCATGAATGATGTCCATATTACCTGATGTGACAAACTGCAACTGAAGTTAAAACTGAGTTAAGTTGAGAATTGGCTAAGTTAGTTCCCTGAAAAACACCGTCTCTGATAAAAATAAATAAATGCTCTGTGTTTATATCATTTCGCTCGCTATATGCGCATTTACCATACCATAACCGTACTTCAACGACTTCCGTTTCTGTAAAATCCATACGAAGTCTGCATCCAGTGAGAACTTGTGCTGCTCATCGATTTTACGATTCTTGATGTTCTCATTTTCGGTGGCCGAGTCTTCTTTTACTTATATCTTTTAATTTAGACCTTTAAAACAGCTTATTTTAATTAAAGATGGACAGTAATTTAAAAGTAAGCCGCGAGCGTACCTCATTTGCATAATGTTCACAGCCCATCGAGCGATCGAGCGACACATTTTCCCATAACTCACGATAACTCGTGTAGCGTTTGCGCACTTCACGATTTAAAAAGGAGCTTCCATGCTTTTAGATCAGGAAGGATCAGAGAGATACGAAGTAAGTAAGGTACTACCATGTTAACATTTACAATTTGTTATTTTTCTATTATTCAGGTTACCAAGCAGTGTGGGAGCGATCTTCTGGTCGCTTTTCGGACAGATAAATCGGGAAAATTTTAAGATTGAAGAGGAAGAGTATGAAGCTATATGGCAAACTGGGAAGATCTTGTTCGGGCTTTTGACGTTGTGGCGGTTCTTGTGGCTCTTAACATGTTGATTGCTATGTTAAATGAGTCTTACTCTCACACGGATAGCGGTAAGTGTCACTTGAAGTTTTCACACTTTTCGTCCGGTCTCCGAATCTCGCACCAACTGTTTATCTACCTACCAACAATACCGGTGGTACATATGACAGGTCACGTGATGGCGATGAACCCTCCCTTGTGGCAATACTATACGACGTCGTAGCATGGCTTTCATATGATAATGACTTGGTTTGATTTTCAAAATTTATCTCGCTTTGTGGGCTCTGGTTTATATGCGCATTGCATATATTTTTTTTTGTCCCGACTATATGCTAATTATGTTCTGTAGTAAAATGAAATTTTCAACACGTAAGAGCAATTTCATTAAATTCGCGAACTTTTCAAATATGATTACGATGTGATGTTTGAAACACGCGAACATCAATTTCAGTGTGAGGCATTTCATTATGAAAATGACCGTAAAGTTCCTTCAGTAACAGTTGATGCACTGAACATCTTTCTGTCGCTTGTTGAACCATTTCGTTTCGCAGTAATACGTTGTCTTGTTTTTCGTATGGTACTGACGATCATGATTGGCAGGCCAACTTGGATGCTGAATGGAAATTCACCAGGACAAAACTGTGGTTTAGCTGGATTCACAAGGAAAGCGTTCTTCAGTGACCGCCATTCAATCTGCTGTACTTGTTGCTTCCGTTCGTTTGGATCATCAAGCGTCTTGTTGCAGCCTGCTGCTCAAAAAAAGTCTTGGTTAGTAGTTTTGCTTTACGATTAGCTCATCGCGTCTTGATGTACTACCAGATTCTCACAACTATTTAGCCTGTGTACGTAGACCTCCTGCACAGGATTACACGACCGCTTTGGCATAAAACATATAACCTGTGTACACAATTCCATTTTGTGTTCACAATTTTTCCTCGCAAAAGTTCTTTAAAACATAATTCTTGAACAGGAGAAGGCGAAAAATTTTTAAAAGCGTCCCATAGACCGTCATTTCTCCGCTCTGCATTCAGTTGAATTTGGAGACGACGCCATGACGAAATTTACACCAAGCGTGCTCAGCGTAGTAGCCTGTGTACGTTTCGGTCCGTGGAAATTAGTAGAAATTTAATCCCATATCGAGAACACGATTTAAGACGCCGATAAACAGATGTCCTTCACCACGAATGTTTTTAGGGAAGATGGGAGAGGGCGGGTGTACGAAAGCTATGATCTTACTCGACAAATGACAAATCAGTATCCTAAGCACCTTATCCGATTATGCTGTCTACTTAAACCACGAATTTTAACTTGAAAAATTCTCTGACAGCGGAAATTCTCCAAACGTTTGGTGAAGGGGAAGGCAAAAGCAACCTGGAAAGTCAGAAGAATTGATGAAAAAGAGGTAGGAAAGGAAACAAAATTGTTTTTAAACTTTAAAACAAGCTAAATCATTATTTCATTTGTTTTCGTGTCACAATTGCCTTGACGTACTACGGGGTATGGCTTAAACGCTGTCCTCTATCTGATTAATGTAACATTGTATTCTATTTATTCCTCTCAGTAGAAATACACGAGTAGTGATTGTTCTAATTTTATTTTGTTGAACAAAGTCCTCTCTTATATCAGTCGCTCACAAAACCCACATGCGAGTTTTCCTTCCGGCAAAAGATTTCCCACTCACACAAGAAAAAGACGTTAATGGACCTTCTCGGCGATATGGCGGCCATTTTGAATTATATTGTTTCAAATAGCTTTTATGGGATGCTCAGGGGGCAAATATATACTAATTTGCCCCTCCTGAGCATCCCATAATAGCTATTTAAAGCAATAGAATTCAAAATAGCCGCCCTATCGCCGAAAAGGACCATTAAGATATTTTGTTTTATGGTAATTCTTCATTAGATGATGTCACAGTCTGACATCACAAAAATGCTCAATCATTGGTGAACAAGTCGAGGTCACATACATTGTCATAGCAACAGTAAAACCTGTTAAGTTCACAGTAAAAAGTGGGGGTCACCAAATTCGTATTTGAGTTATAAGCACTTAAGGGTAA